GATCCGATCGGAGGAGCCGGTGGCGGGTGACTCGGGCTAACCAGGCTGGATCTTTTGGTCCCTCCAGAACCAGAACCTCTTTGGTTGTCTACAGGATAGCTGTTGGAAGAAGCAGGAGAGAGAAATAAGGCTATTATTAGTTGTGAGGCCAGATTAGACTGTGCAATGTTAATGCAAATCACGTGTGGGTGTCACAGTCCAGACAAAAATCTAACTTCTAGCTTCAACTGGTGCTTCCATGAGACCTCCTCACTCCTTGGTTTGAGCTCCCTTGCAGTGTGTTTCTTTTGGCCTACACCAGAACAAAGGCAAGCTTCTAGAGACTGGCAAAAATGCTATCACCCATCCCATCTCCCAGGCTGACAAGAACACGAGCCATCTCACCTCTCCATCAGAGGCCACACGTCATGTCTGAGCAGCCTGCTGGCTCAAGAGCTCCTGCCACTACCCCTCCACACTGAGGTCAGGCTTTGACACGCCAGGCAGGGATGTCTACCATGATAAATCACACAAGGACTGGTGGGTGTTGCCAGGAATGCATATGCTCTGAACACCTGCTAGGAACAGATCTCTGCACTGGGTTCCACAGCTCGGAGCTGGAGGGCAGCAGCCATGTCTCGCTGTGGGGAGGGAGGAGGAAGACATGGAAACCCAACATGCTCTTTATGGAAAACACACATTCATGAGGGACTGAATCTCCCATTTATGGAAGCTGTGTCCTACGAGAAAACACTACTGCCCATAAGATACTGTAACATCCTATCTATGTGCAAAGGAAGTCCTAAAATGACATCTCCTTCCACGATAAAACAGAAAAAAGGAGGCACATTTGCCACCAAAACGTCACAGTTTTTTACAGTGCACAGTGCTGATCCAAGCCCAACTACTGGAGATCAAACCCAGCTCCCAGGGTTCTTTAAAAACAACCACCACAACAAAACTAGAGCAAGGAGATCACTGTGGCTAGGCAGAGATCTGAGCAGTTGCATAAGGCAGAGTAAGCTTCATCTGAAAGCTCCTTTCTGCTCTGCCCTAGAGGAACGTGCTGCAGAGTGGAGTGCTTGGTCTCTTTGACACATCAGAAGAGGCTTTTCTGCAGCACTGCTGCCTTTGGAGAAAATGGAGACAAGCTAAAACAGTCCTGTCTATCAGACATACTTCCTCCTGTTACTCTTGGCTCTGTTTTAGTGCCTTAAAAAAAATTTAAAATCTTCTCTCTTCTTTCAACCTTTGTGTCTTGAGCCACTGCTGGACCTTAAGTCTCATCTCTGGAGGTGACTGGAAGTCACCATTCCATCCCATACAGACCAGCTGTCCTGAACTTGCACTGGAGTCTCTGGGAAGAAGCCAGCTGGTGTACTCAAGTCCCTTAAATTGAACTATATCTACATCTTCAGCATTTGTCAAACATCACAGGATAAATGGTAATGAAAACTAGAGGTGAAAGACAAGGTTCTCTGCAAAGCTCCATCAGGAACGTGTCTACACACCCTCAAACAACTGCATTGGAAAACCCACCCAACACAGCCAGACCATTAATTAGGACCCCACTCTTTTAGAAAGTGAAATAGAGACTGGAGCATCTGCCCTTTGAAGAGAGCTTGGGAGAGCTGGGGCTGCTCACCTTAGAGAAAAGGAGGCTGAGGGGGGATCTGATCAGTGCTGATCAGTATCTACAGGGGGTGGCAGGAGGATGGGCCAGACTCTGCTCAGGGGTGTCCAGTGACAGGACAAGGGGCAATGGGACAAACTGGAGCACAGGAGGTTGAACCTAAATATGAGGAAATAGTTCTTGGCTCTGAGGGTATCAGAGCCCTGGGACAGGCTGCCCAGGGAGGCTGTGGAGTCTCCACCCCTGAAGACATTCCAGACTGATCATGTTCCTGTGGGATCTGCTCTAGGGGACCCTGCTCTGGCTGGGGTTGGACTGGATGATCTCCAGAGGTCCCTTCCAACCCCTAGCACTCCGTGATCTGATGAAGTCTGCTCTGTAGTGCTCACCCAAGCCCATTCTCCCGTTCCATACAGGAACAATGATGGTGGTTGGGATTTCTGGAGAGCTGTGCTGCCTGGGCCTGCAGTTGCACTCCCCCTCCAGCCAGGAGCGTTCCTCTCCAACAACCCGCCAAGAAGCTCCGCTGAACTATCTCAGCCTGTCTCATGTCACTCTTTTACACCACCTACTCTCCGTTGGTGGTTGGTGACAGAAGGGATCCCGTAGGCTTACCTAAATTCCACCGGGGGTGGAGGCAGGCTGTCATCTGGGAACGAGGGAGGTGGTGGCACAATAGAGTCAGTCTGTGGTGGTGGCGGGTAGCAGTTCACCTCCAGGGGGACCGGATGCTGCCGTTCTGATACACCATGTTGGGGTAGCTGCACGGCAGCAAGACAAGGCATTCATTTCAAGAGTTCAAGGCAGTGTTTAAAGCACATTTCATCCCCCCAAACCTTTGCCTCCTTGGAAGGGTTACACCAAACCAACTGTGCAGCAGCTCAAGCACCCAACAGCACTGCTGTTAACTAAGCGAGCTGCAAGGTTTAGAAAGGAGGTTTTCCAGCA